TACGAAAATAATTTTAAATTCCTTCGAACGAAAATCGCATTATCGCAAAACAATAATAATACAATTAATGTCATTATAATATAAATCTTCCGCATTATGCGCTTGTTATGGCATTAAAGGTATAAGTAATTTGTGAGAAATGGATAAATTGGTTAACTCTTTCAACATATGTATAAAAAAAGGGGGAAAAAAAAACAAAATATTATCGTATAAAATAAAAATAAACATTAAATCGCTTTATATCCACAACATTATCTTAAATATTTGGCCTCAGACCTTTAACTGACAAAAAATTCAGAAAAGAGATTATTTTATCTAAACTGAGCTGACACACATTTTTAACACGTGTCTTAAGCGACCAGATTAGATTAAATGGTTAAATATGATAAAAGAAATATTCTTTTTCTAAAAAAAGATATAAATGAATTGAGAAACAATAAAAAAACTAAGAAGAAGATAAATTTTATTACTTATTAGAAATGTGGTAAAAATCAAAGGATCCTCGATTTCGTTTTGCAGAGCATGACGCAAAGCTGCACATGCATGATTGCGGACAATGGTCAAGCCAGCGCTAAGCTATTTTAAACGAACTAATCTAAAACTTTCATTGATAGAAGCTTTGGTTTCATATACGAAACATTGTGGATTTCAGCCCGACAGCTCGCTAGAATAAACGAATGCCCTCTAGGAAGCTGCATAGCATGCAAGCAAGTACAACAAGTGCTGAGCTCAGATTACTCAAGGCAAAGTTTAACTCTCCAAAAAGTGAGCTTAATAAAAGCCCAGAAATAAAAAGAACAGATCAGGCGAATATGCCGTAGATGTTAGGGCTGCAAGACTTTATTTGGTCTTGGAATTTATTTCTCCGACTAGATTAACAATAATAATGATAAGAATAGCTGGAGAGAGGCGAATAATTGCATTCAAGCAGAACTACTGTTGAGTGAAGTTAGTCGAGGAACAATGTAAAAAGCAAATTATTTGGCAACAGGTTATCAGAGGTCGGGTTCAATGAAATTTATTCAAGCAAGGTGAATAGCAAAAACCATATGGGAATAGAGTTCAACTTGATTGGGAAATAAAATAAAAAAAGTGTTGCTTTAATTCATGAGGACATTTTGAACACAGAACTTGGCTTGGTAGATAGCCTAGCTTAGTAAACATGAGGCAGAAGTATCAAGTTCAATTGACAAGGCATAACACCTATAGCGAACTGGGCGTGCACCGCCGAGGGTGCGTTGCTCACCATAAAAATGCATCTATATCCCATGTAGAAAATTGTTGTCAAAAAATGGGTGGAATCTATAGTAAGCCAGGCTAGACATAATGTTTAAACTCTGTATATCCTGTACGCGGCAAGGCTGGCCACTCTCTTACTACATATAGCGTAAATTTGAAATTCCATTTATTATTGTAGATAAGAATCTCATTCTGTAGAATTAACAAAGTAGTCATTAAATTTTTAGTTGAATGAAGATAAATCCTAAACTAGAATATCTAAGCTCGAACATATTCTTCTTCGCGACAATAACCGCAGTTCATCCACTACAGAATTCCCTAGAATTCGTTCAAACTTCTTAACATTATCTTATTGTCATCTGTTCATTAATATAATGGTTTTTATTTAAATAAGTTATAAGGAAGCAACTGAAAACACTGCAGGCATGTGACGCGGCCCCTCTATTAATTATCTTACACCATCCTAGAGTTGGTCGAAAAAGTGATCCAATCTGGACCATTTTCAATAGGGTTTGTCCTTAGCCCAAAATATATCTATGAAGCAAAATATCTCAAAAATTATAACCTGACGGAGGGACAGACAAGTTGAGATCATTTCAGAGAGTGTTTCTAGATCGATCGATCAGCATGGTCGATCTGTAAAAGGTGAGTCTTGTTAGTCTTGCATAAAACTGCGTACACCTGATCTACGCGAAAGTGGTATAGGGTGCAACTTCTTACTTATTCCAAATAGCAATTTATTAAGGCTTAGTATAATATAATAAGTTCTCGGTTGTAGTCTGCATAACAGAGAAAAAGTACTCAGAAATTGCAAATGATTGACTCGAGTCTTTGAGCATTGCCCACAAACACGGTTTCCACATTCTGACAAACTGATAAAATTATTCGGATTCGAAATTTCACGCCGGCCAAGAATGTTTACAATTTTCTTTGCCTGTTTTATTAATGAGAAGATTTAGTGGTCGGATCCATTAATAAAACCGTTTGAATATATGGTCGACGTAGTGGAAGGAAACAATTACATTTTTTTTTAAATTTTTTCTTTTTTTTTTTAAGATATTGATTTTCTTTATTTATGTGTGTGGTTTTAAGGTTATAGTATTACCATCATTTTACCCCTTGCATGCTTAAAGTGCAACACTTTTCAATTGACATCTACGACAGTTGTGTATTTGTATAATTGCGAATGGGTGAAAAAAAGAGTCAGCAAAATCTCAACTGTGGCTGGATTAACAGTCACGATTTTGAGATTATGATTAAACAACACCTTGTTTTTGATATAAAGAAAAATGCGTTGGATAAATGCAAAACAGGTTCTCCCAACATGTACTTTGTACAATGCCTTGGACATATGCCAAATGCGAGAATATTTCACTTCAATTTAAAGAAGATTGAGAGAAACTCGGTTTCTTAGCCCTTTCCAAAATTTTCATTTTACGAAAATTATTTCTTCTTAACTGAGGTTTATTTTATGCAATATTTGGCGCTACCTGAAGCTAATGATGTAATCGAACGCATGACTGTTAAAGTAATTAGCTATAAAAAAAAAAAAAAAATAAATAAACAAGACCAAATCAATAGATTGCCAATGATAGTCTACGAAAAAGAACAAAATAAGGCTAAACGGGACTTGCAACAGACATTGAAACATTCTTACACCTCTTTTTGTAACGGGGTTTTATCTTTAATTCGTTTGCGGTGCCGGCAATGGATAAATCGCATTAATTGAAATTACATTTGTTGTCCCACACATCCCGCACTCTTCACATCTCTAAATCTAAGTGAAATATTAAAAAACACCATTGGATGGAATACATCGTTTCTGAGGAAGATTAAGCAATGTACACGAATAAAACTAAGTTTAGCAAAACAAAAAATTTTCTTTTGCACTTAGGCCGGAGACTTTACAGCCAAACTTCGTGAACCGATTATTTTGAAAGTGTAGCAAGCCTGTATTTTGTTAATGCGAGAAGTTTAAAGGCTAGCCTTGCAATAAATTTGAAAACATTGGTCAGGATTAATGGATACAACTTTTGTATCTTGTGGTATATGTCGCAGAGTTCGCAGTATCAAGTAAAACTCTTGTAGCTGTCATTATACCGAAACGGTTTTGTCTCACTTGCAAAGTTAATGAGTTATTACGCATCAGTTTTTTTTTTTTATTTTTAAGAAACAGAATTCTATCCAATTTCATTGTAAATATTTATTTGCCTGACAAAATGATTTTGGTGATCCTGAGGCAGATGCAAGGGACTGATCTTCTGGATTGCAATTTCCATAACTCGAAAATAGCGATTGTTTAGTAAAACATTAAAAACTTATGATCCATGACATTTATTCCTTTGTCACTGGTCTAAATAATTGTCACCCACGGTAGGGCCCATTTTGGGCTTATATCTTGCCCAGTGCATGCATCACTGTAAGCTATCATGACCTTTTGCGTTGTCTCATTCTATAAATGCTTCAAACACCAAGACGCTACTGTCTCTACAGATATTTATGTAACGACTGCCGACAGACGGCCAGACAAGTGCAAATCGATTTAGTATGTGGTGCTGATTCAGACAGTGATTCCAAATCGATCGGTACAATAAGACGTAACTCTGTTTGAAGTCCTTCTTGATGTTGCACACATCCGCACAAACTTAATATTTTATTGCATAATACAACAAGTGGCGTAGGCTATAAAGATCATATCAAGTTTTATGTATAATCATAATTATCTGTATTTTGTTCAAAACTGGACTTGTCTCGCTTTCAACATAAAAGGTATTCTGTAATACTCGTCATTTCCTGAACCTTCATAATTTATTTGGTTTTTTACTTTCATGCAGAAGCATTTTGTATCATATACAAACATCACTAAATACGCGACGTATACCTATTAATGTATGCCCTCTGCCAAAGCAGGATTATGATTTGAAATAAGCATGATACCTAGTCTCATCCTTTGTCTATTGTTTATCTTGAACTCACAGAAATTTGAATTAAAAACTTGACGTCTCACTCCCTTAATTCTTTTTGCTTTTTTTTTTTTAATATGACAACTTGCTCAAGGGATGTTCTCTTTATGCGTACCCTTTACGTGCGTGGTGATGGTCAGAAAGAGATGAAGAAAGAAAGAAAGAGATAGCAAGTGACCGCAGTTTAGTGGATGTGTGCCCAATCGGGCAGACGTCCTTATCGACGAAACACTCATTGCCGTTGCGGTCAAGTACGGTCAGGCTGCACTGAGGCCCTTGGCTCCCTCTCGGCTAAGCTGCAAAGAATTCCCCTAATTTTGGTATACAGATGGAATAGCACGAAAAAAATTCTATTATGACCAGCAACAACGCACATCAACCATTCGCACTTTTAGATGATGGGTTCAACTATTTTCTAATTGCACTTCGGCAGTGGTTTGTATCAACAGCTTGCTCGCCAATTGCGTCAAATCATATTTTATGACATGAAGTTACTTAAGTGGCTTAGTTCAGCTCCGCTTAACAACCCGGAAAAGAAAATAAGTCGCTTGACTTAATATAAATAAAGTCATGACTATTGCTTCCCTATGAGGTTGATCGAAATTCGGCCAAACTCGAACATACACTGTTTCTTTTTCTTATTTGAAAATATATTTTTCTGTCATTTATTTTTCAAGTTTTCAATATTTTTTCGAATTTAGTTCAATTTTCATATTTCTTACTTTCTTTTCGAAGAAAATTCTCTGTGAAAATCTAATAAATTAAAAAAAAAGTTTCGCAATATATATTTTGTACGTAATGATGTTCGAAAAGTGTGGAAATAGCAATTTATGTGGGTGTCTGTCTATATCATCTGAAAAGATACGAGACGGATCAAAAAAACTGAAAGTACAGCTAGAGGGACCAAAACAAGAGAAAAAAGCAGAATCCGGAATGCAAGAACAGCAGGAAAAGCAAGAAAAACAGAAAGAGCAAGAGAGGCGGGAAAAACCGGTACCATCAACCTTTACACCTGAGGACGGTGTCAGTTATCAGGAGTCAACAGCCCCGACTGCCTTCTTTGTTTTCCTATACGAATATCGGCGCAAAATTAGAGACATTTCTTTTACCGCTATTTTCAGGCAAACTACAATAAGTCGCTGCGCTGGTAAAAAATGGCGACAAATGTCAAATGAGGAGAAACAGCCCTACATACATTGGGCTAAGAAAAACCGGGAAAAGTTACGGCATGTCCTAAAAACGAAAAATGATATTCTAAAACGCCCTAACCTATCGACAGCCTGTGCAAAACGGCACTATTCGAAAGGAAGTCCATAGAAAAATGGCAGATCCGTCAAACTAAACGAAATTTATGTCGGATGTTTCGAGCTAAATCTTGAATTGTTGTCCCTAATACAAATATGTGCAAAACGTAAAAATATTGTAGAAATGTTGTATTATTGTATCCTTTTGATCGAGTGATTAAACATTACTTTCTTTATATCTACAAAACTTTTAAGGATTTGTTTAGTAAATTTGATTCGATTCTTGTCTACTCCACTTACAGAGAATTCGAGAGAAAAATAATAATAAAAAGGAATTTCAATTTAATTCACGGTCACGAAACAGCCGTATCCCTCGATAGTCTTTATACAAAAATTACACATTAAGTAACGTATTTATGCTCATTGATTGTAAGACAAAAAGATGAACAGAAAGCTCTTTAAAGTATGTGATGCACTTTTGATTAGCGTAAACGACGCGCTTCCCGGAATTCCGACATCGAAATCTTCTTTAGAAATACAGCGTCAAATACTTGCTCCTAGGTATTGTAAAATCAAGGACTCATAGGTCATCCCAAAATTCTTTGGTTTTACATAACGGCTACAAGTCTTAAGTTATCTCTTCCACAATCTGCTCATCAATCGATCGAATATTGCCCCAGATTATCAGGAAATTTTTTATACACTACCTAATAGTCTTCTTCTTCTCTCCCTTTTCTTATCTTTTTTTAATTTTGTATTAAAATACCATCAGTTGTATCTTGTTTTCGTGCAAAAGCGTGCTTTTCTTCGGAGCCATTAAATAATTGCGGATACGAAATATCCGTCATAAAGTTTCCAAACTATTACAGTTCGGCGTCAGGATTTTCATTATAATTTATTAAATATCAGACTTTTTTTACCACACAACTCTTGCCGACGTTTAGTAGGAATACTTATGTGGAAGAAAGTTCAAAATATAATCCCAACTGATCAAAATTTTCCGCAATTCCGCTGTTTGTGGGATGATCATGTCTGCATTTAAATATCACAAGTAATCATTCTCGGTACCAATAGTAGGCATATGGATCGGCGCGCCAAGTTTGGCAAAGGGCTGTAGTAGAGTCGCCGAACAAACTTGAAGGTGAACGTAAACTCACTACTTTTTTTTTGTGTTACATAGTCCATGAAACTTTCAATAAGGTGCTGTCAATATCTACGTGCGTGTGTATAACGTTTGAGCCAGTTAACTGTGTATACGTTCAGATCGGTCCATCCGTCCTTGTCGGATTTTCATTACGCATCTGTCTTTGCCAAAATAACGTATGTTAGAAAATATTTCTACCAACAAGTCACATATGACAAACATTACGTCAGCATCCCTTCACCTTCGATATTAATTGCGAACGAATTGCTTTCGCATTCTTCGCCGATGTAAACAAATTTAATGCTTGAATTGTCGATGAATTTGAATGAACTTTCGCGTGGATTTAGATGACATAATTGTCACTCAGAAGAAAATATTTTAAAATGAAGAAAAAGAAAAGAAAAACCATAGGTTTTTTTGTTTTGAAAACACAAAGTTTTTGGCGTAGAAAAGTAAATTAAGCATAAATAATGCCATTACTGAAAACATCAATTTTTTTGAACATTTTACGTTACATAATGCAAGTGTGACGGATTTAAAAAGAAAAGGAAAAAAAAAAACAAAAGGTTTCTTTGCTTTTGTTGTTCCGATGTTCATTTACACGTGCACAAACTATCGGAGGCAATAGAATGGTATCATGGAATGAATAATCAATACCGGTAGTCAAATATGGATTTAATGGTTGCCACATAATACCTTAAATATGACTCTAATTATTAGTTTTTCTTGCCCAGGCATGTACGCGTTAGAGTAACTTTTTGATCTAACAATGGAAGCGATACAAATTATGGTATTTCGTGTAGAACGCATGATAGCAGTGGGATCAATAATTTCATATTAAAACTTCCTGTCTTAACAACTTAATCATTGAATTATGGATTGGGTGATTCGGAAAGAAATATCGTTTGTTTGGCTTTAACAAAAGTCCATTTCTTTATGGGGTATAGAACAATAGCATTCACGAGTTGTCAATTGATGTCTTCATTTCGTCTTTCTCAGTTCCTTCCAGAACTTGGTGCAAGAGCGCCGAGAGGAAATCTTGCAAATCAGTTTTGGCACTGGAGGCTGTGTCCCCCACATCTGCTTGAACATTACTTCTTCGCCTTTTCATTCGTAATGATGTTTTTGGTTTTCCATGGTCTTGGTAACGCACCCAAGGGAATCTTTTCCTCAGAATCGAACAAAATTTTTCCCACACAAGCACTACGATGTCAACTATCGAATGGGAACGTGTGCCGCTTTGTATGTGAACCTAGCCATAGAAAAATGCAATTAAAGCGAGTGTTTGGAATAAACGAAATGACTTTCCAAACAACCTAATACATATCAACATTGAAATACTAAATTAATAATGCCCGAAAAAATCATAAAATATGTTACGTGGGAAACCTTCCCATTTTCCGACATTTTTAAGTTGCAGGAATTTTATGTCGAAACTCATATATCGTGTTCAAATCAGAGCCAATAGCCGTAGTAGAACGCATTAAGGATAGGAATCATTATAAAAGTAATGTTCAAACAACTTTACCCGTAGTATTTTGAATGCTAAAAGATGCAGTTTGATTACTTAAGATCATTTGAATTGATCTCTATAGCCTAAATAGGAGGATTGGACCTTCAAAGATGGCTGGATTGTGCTGAAAAATACAGATTACTAAGGAGTTGATGAAAATATCGCACAACGACTTCAACAACGTAGTAAACAACAAAGTGGAGCAGAAAAGGAAACTGAGCTATCGGCCTAATTACCTCATGACGTCAGCTATATAGGTAGGGGGATAGGTGGGCTAAATATAAAGACTTAATTAATTGTGTTTTGCCATTAGCCAGATTCCTTTTAACTGCTATTGGCCGAAAGTACAGGAGGAAGGTTTCAAAAAATATATTGAATCCAATCGGAATGAACAGATCAACAGATGTAGTACTAGAGACTCCTTAAACAATAGAGAGGAGTAGCGTTTAAAAGTTAATACAGAAGAAAAGCAGGCAGGAATACTTTATGGATAGCATTACTCATAATAGCTTTGGAACCGGAACTCTTGAGGAATTTATTTGTGCCTCAGAAAGGCAAAAGGAAAGGGAAAGAAATAGAACGAAAGAAAGAAAGAAAGACTATTCCGGAAAAGCAATCGAAAAAGTTTCTATTCTCCCAAGTTTTAATCTACTTTAGGTCAACCCTAAAATCGTCCACAATAAGTTTGTGGCCATTTTAAGGAAATTGCTTTTCATATCCCAATAATCAAGAAAAGACTTCTAAGTGCTTATATCACTAATAGAGAGGAAAGGTTGAAAGTTCTCCTGTGTGTGTGACTGATTTCTAAGTTTTCTAAAGCCTTTATCTTTCTTATATACGCCTAGGTTTGTATACATATAGGGACAACTTTAGATCCAACCACGGCATGAAGCTCGATTTTTGTAGAACGAATACATATTTTAAAGAATAGTAATCGCAGTTGATTTTTGTATTTTTTTTTTTTTTATTTTTTTTTAAAAGTACTCATGAAATCGTATGTACGTGAACTGAAAGTCGACTTAAATCAAATATAACGTAACTATTGTTGTAGTTGAAAATCTCAATGCCTTCCTTCTTAACACCTTTTGTTTCATTTGTTCTTCGAGGCAACGTGTGACTTGTGTGACTTTGGACACAGTATTGCTGTTTAGCAGTCATTCTTTCATAACGTAAGATATTTCATTCTTCGTATCTGATTTGAACTGAATCGTTTTTTGATCTTTTTGCTTTAACCGTCACATTTATTTGGGATTATTATTATTATTAGTATTTTCTTTAAGCACACATGACTTTCTTAACATGCTTGCAGGCATGTGTGGCATAGAATGGACTTTGTATTATTACTTTTTCGTCTTTTTTTTTTTTTTTTTTTTTTTTTTAAAATTTTTTTTAAAGCCTTAGTGGTAAAAGGGGGGAAAAAAGATAAAGAGAGAGAGAGAGAGATAAAAAAATAAAAAAAAAAAAAAAAACAGAAAAATATTAATTATTCAAATCCGATTGGATTATAATAATTTATAATGCTTAGTTGACGTATTTATACATGACTTTACTTCACATTCATATACAAATATTATACTGTGTATATATGAGTATATTTCTTTTTTATTTATATATATATTTGTATAGCGAGTGTACGTAAAAATATGCGCACAAGGCTTAGTTGGTTAATGATGGGAAGAGACAAAAGACAACAAATCGTTCATTGACGTTGAAAAGTCTAATGTTTTAGGATTAAGTTAAAATATTTGTAAAGTCATATCCGTAAGTGTGTTTATTTATCGTATGAATCTCTTAAGGAACATATTGGTGTGCGTTAATCTTTCTTTAATTACTCTATACACATGCATGCATGCATGCATGCATGCATGCATCTAGATATACAGACGTGCATTCATACCCTCGCCGATATCTACCTACGATTATCATTATTATTATGATTATCTTTTAATTTATAACACATGCGTTAATTTATAGAGTAAAGCTTTCGATTGAAACACATCCCACTAACTAATTGTACAAGACTATGAATAAATGTGACCTACAGCACAATACATGCGAAGGTAAACATATGTGCGGATAAATCATTTCATAATAAAAGTGGAGTCATGCGTGCGCTCACTTGTCTCGATACTTTGAACGCGCGTACACACACGCTTGCAATATTTGTCAAATGTTTATTGTTTGCACTTCAATGCTTGCTTTGTCATTCTTTGTAACAGTTTTCCTATGCCTAATGCCAACTTGCTATCGCGTATGTAGAGAGTGTATAGTAAATGCTTGTACAACTTTTAAAGTGTACAATAACAATTACTTTCATATACCGCTTACCACAACTGATAACCTTATAAAATAACATGTTTTAACAAGTTTCCCTTTTTTTCCACACATACGTATGTATATGTTGTTCGCATACTCA